CAAAGGTGACGTCCTGAGAGGCAAGGACCCGGCGCGAGGTGGCGTGGTAAAACTGCCAACCAGACGCGTCAGGGACAAAGCCAAGGAAGACACAGGGAACAGCGCGGGTGGAGAGCTTGTCCGCGGAAGCGTCGCGGACAAAGGCTCGAGATCCCCAGACCCGGAAACGCGACGCATCGCCAACCTCCCCCGTCCACAGCAGTGTGGGCGAGGTCTCCGGCATGGAGACACGGGGCCAGAGGTTGAGCTGATGCGCAGCGTACTGGACCGCAAACGGCCACAGAAAGTGGGGGGCAGCCGCATGGATCAAGGAGGTACGGGCCAATGCGGCGCTCCGCAACCCCATTCTGCTGTGGAGAGGCCGGAAGCGTGAACGACTGCTCAATGCCGTGCTCAGCACAGTAGGCTGCCAAGAGGTCGGAGGAGAACTCACCACCTCTGTCAGAGTGCAAGCGCAGGACAGGAAAGTCCGAGTGGAAACGCTCGCTGAGCTGGAGACGAGCTCTGCGGATCCAAGGGATCAAAACATCAGGGACCTCACCCTTGGTGCGCAAGGGGAAGACCGTGGTGTAGCGCGAGTAGTCGTCAACAACTATCAGGAAGTACCTCTCCTGACCCTGACCACGGACGCGGGCTGGGCCCCACACGTCCATGTGGAGCGTCTGCAAGGGAGCAGTCATCGGGGGAAACGAGGAGGAGTGAGGAGCGGCGCGCTGCCGCCCCTCGACACAGGGAAGACAGGGAGGAGCAGGCGAGGGTGGGAGGGGAGGGAGGACCCTGGGAAGACCAGAGACAAGGTACCGGGAGTGCATGGCACGAAGGCGCTGCACAGACGGGTGGCCAAGTCGGTGGTGCCAGAGGACAGTCTCGTGCGCCAGAGAGCGACACGAGCAGGGGGCCGACAGCTGACGCAGACGCAGATGCAGACATAGACGCAGCGACCTGAGGGGACTCAGTGGTCAGTGTGTACAGGTCCGACCCCGGCTGCCGAGTGAAGGTAGCCAAGTGGCGGCCCGTACGGGCACACGTGCAGTGCGTCACGCGCTCGTAGGCCGGGGTGAACTGGTGAACACCCGCGTCCTGGAGCGCACACCCAGCCACCAGGTTCGTAGAGAACGAGGGGAGGTGGAGACCGGACAATGTGCCCGACGGGACCGCAGGACAGGGAAGGACAGTGGAGGAGGTCGCAATGACCGGACCCCCAGAGGGGTCAGCGAGGGAGACAGCAACTGGCCGAGCAAGCGGCTCAAGGGCAGTGCGGTCACGAAAGAAACAGCGAGAAGCACCTGAGTCCAGAGTGAAGGTGTGCAGTGCCTCAGTCGACTCAGTACCAGGGGGCGCAGACTCACTAGCACCTAGAGCAGCAGCCTCACCAGCACCTGGGGTAGCAGCTGCACTAGCACCTAGAGCGGCAGCCTCACTCACAGGACACGGCAGCTGCACCTGTCCATCACCAGAAGCTCCCGACCGACCCACTCCAGAGCGACTACCACTACGGCCACCCCGACAGCCCAAACTGGCGTACCACTCACGAAGCTGCTGGGGTGAAAGAGGACACTGCAGCTGCACCTGTCCACTACCAGAAGCTCCCGACCGACCCACTCCAGAGCGACTACCACTACGGCCACCCCGACAGCCCCAACTGGCGTACCACTCACGAAGCTGCTGGGGTGAAAGAGGACACTGCAGCTGCACCTGTCCACTACCAGAAGCTCCCGACCGACCCACTCCAGAGCGACTACCACTACGGCCACCCCGACAGCCCCAACTGGCGTACCACTCACGAAGCTGCTGGGGCGTGAGGGACTCACGCGCACGGCCCTGGAGCTGCATCTGGCCTCGCCAGGAGCAGCAGTAACAGCAGTAGCGGCAGTAACAGCAGTAACAGCAGGAGCAGTACCAGTGGGAGTAGAAAAGGCAGTAGCAGCAGTAGCAGTGCGGGCAGGGCAATGCTCACCAGTGGTCGGCGTGGCAGGCGCAAGACGGTGGCGACCGCGGGGCCGCTACAACTGCAGGGCGGGGCCAGGCCGCAGCAGGGAGCTCCGCGGCAGCTGCTGCAGGGCGAGGCCGGGCCGCGACGGCAGTTGCTCCAGGTGCCTGGGGCGGCTGCTGCAGGTGCGGGCTGCCCCAGGGGCGGCTACTGCAGGTGCGGGCTGCTCGAAGGGCGGCTGCTGCAGTGGCGGGCGGCTCCAGGGGCGGCTGCTACAGTGGCGGGCGGCTCCAGGGGCGGCTGCTGCAGTGGCGGGCGGCTCCAGGGGCTGCTGCTGCAGTGGCGGGCGGCTCCAGGGGCTGCTGCTGCAGTGGCGGGCGGCTCCAGGGGCTGCTGCTGCAGTGGCGGGCGGCTCCAGGGGCTGCTGCTGCAGTGGCGGGCGGCTCCAGGGGCTGCTGCTGCAGTGGCGGGCGGCTCCAGGGGCGGCTCCTGTAGTGGCGGGCGACTCCAGGGGAGGCTGCTGCAGTGGCGGGCGGCTCCAGGGGCGGCTCCACGGGCAGGTGGCGACGCTGCGGGCAGGACGACGCGGCGAGCAGGTGGTGACGCAGCGGGCAGGCGGCGACGCCGCGGGCAGGCGACGACGCCGCGGGCAGGCGACGACGCCGCGAGCAGGCGACGACGCCGCGAGCAGGCGACGACGCCGCGGGCAGGCGACGACGCCGTGGGCAGGCGACGACGCCGCGGGCAGGGGCTGCGTCGCGGGCAGGCGACGACGCCGCGGGCAGGGGCTGCGTCGCGGGCAGGCGACGACGCCGCGGGCAGGCGACGACGACGCCGCGGACAGGGCGACGCGGTGGGCGGCGAGAGCCTGCAGAGGCGGCGCGCGGTCGGGTAGAGGCTGCGCGCGAGCCTGACGAGTCTGCAGGGGCGGCTCTCGGGCGTGACGGGCCTGCAGAGGCGGCTCGGGGGGGGCCTGACGGGTCTGCAGAGGCGGCTCGGGGGCCTGACGGACCTGCAGGGGCGGCTCGAGGGCGCACGAGGGCGCACGAGGGCGCACGAGGGCGTACGAGGGCGCACGAAGGCGCACGAGGGCGCACGAGGGCGCACGAGGGCGCACGAAGGCGCACTAGCAGAGAAAGGCGCACGAGGGCGCACGTAGGGTAGGGCGCACGAGGGCGCTTCTAGCGGAATAGTGGGCCCATTGGAGAAAGCGGTCCTAGGTAGCAACCTAGGCGTCTGATACCATGTTAGAATCTTAGAATAGAACGAGAATGGATGAACTAGCAGGAAGTTGGGTACAAGTAGGAAACCCTAAGTTTGTGTACCCTCTAAGGCTAAACCCACTAAAGCCTACACAATATAAACATGCAATGTTTGACATCATCAGCGTTTCTGTACTGCTTTGTCTCACTTACTCACTGCATGACTTTGCTTGTAGTGTGATATGTATATATATATTCCTGCATGCTTACACTTGCTAGGTTGTGATCACTGTACTGTTTGTTCTCTTTTATATAACTCTGCATGTGAACAGGCCTTACGACCCTTTGCTTGTGCTCGGACTGTGTGGTGACTTCGTGATCCCCCACTTTGCCTATGGGGGTGTGTCAAAACAATGTACATTTATGTTGTGTAGGCTCTAGTGGGGTAGCCAATAAGGAGTAAAACCCAATTAGGATTAGTACTTGTACTCAGTTTGTTCTCAATGCATTCATTCTCGTTCAGTATCTTGACAGTTTTGCCATGCCCTCAGAAATCAGCCTTATTTCAGACCACCTTATTTCAGTCCTGCCTTGAGGCCACGGGGTTCCTACAAATGAATCTGAGGCCCTGGGTACACCATTAAGCCTTCTGTGATAATGACAGATAAATTTTCCATTTGAAACATGTAGACATGCATGACTAATGCAATGAGCTGCAACATATGATAAACTTTTCTAGGGCCCAGCCCTCCCCACGGGAGCTACGGAGGTCTGGTAAACGTTCTAGGGTTCGACCAGATGAACTGAAACCCCGCATGCTACCTCAGCCCCAGAGCCTCGTTGTCACAAATGCGTTGCATGACACCTGCCTCATCCTCCGCTAAATTCCACCTCGCCTTATCCTTCCTAGCACGCTTGCTAGGCTTGCCACAGTACACCCGCACATGCTTGTTGAACTCCTCATTGATCCTCCGAAGCACCTTCCGGGCCTGAAATCTGCATGTCCTGCCCATCGACACATCACACCTCCCCAACCAGATCTGATGTACTGCCACCGCCACCAACGTTGCTTCCGGAAAACTGGACCTCGTCCCTTCTGTGCCAAAAAGCAGCTCCGCCAGCGTGTCGACCCGTCTTTCGGGATTCATCATTACAACCGCCGTTCTTACCGCAGCTGCCACTGCAATCACATGCAGGCACTCCAGCAGGCAGTGTTCCAATGTCTCCGTCCCTCCGCAGTGTGGGCACAAAACCCCACCCCCCAAGAAATATACACGCTCCCCAACTTGCAAGTTCAGGCTGTGCAAGCGGAGCATCACATCCCGCGCCCTGACCGGGACAACCTGGGAGTCTCTGATGCGCCTCCCCTTATCCCAGTGTATCTTTCCCCCTGCTCGGGCCTCCAATTTTCCTCTCTTCTCCTTGACTGCCGCCAGCCCCTTGCTCGGCTCCCTGAGCTTCTTCAACGGCACCACTTCCCCCTCCTCGAACAGCGTAGACCCCAGCAGCCTTATTCTAGGATCCCCCACCGCGCCGGCCGCTTGTCGTTTGAGTACCCGCGCCGGAGTCACCCACTCACACCGAAGCTCGAAACGCACATCCCACTCACTGTGTTCTCCTCTCCCGTTGACTCCCATCAAGATCACCAAGTTCTCCCTGGTACCGCTGATTTCCCACAAACACCCTCTCCCGCTCGGGAGCAAGGTGTGCACGAACGGGGATGTTGCGACAACTTCCTCCGCTGTTACCGGGGCCAGCAGACACGCCCTCCATTGTTCAGGTGCCGCATAAAATGCTCTGACCGCCATGGCTACTTCCTTCTTGCAGCCCAACTCCCGGGTAAGCATCTCTTCCGTCTTTGCCGCGTACTAACCGTCCCACTTCCGCACCACCATATTCCGCATCTTCCACAACTGCCACTTCGACGTGTGTTTCTGACCGCCAAAAGGCGCTTTCCCTTTGTGTGTAATTTTTGTGTTGTAGCACAGGTACCCCTCCTCAGCTTCCCACCTCAACGTAGCCTCCGGTACCCGTACTGACGACGACTTCAGCACCACCTTGCACAGCTTTGCCCATCGTCTGCTCTTAATCAGCCCCCCTTTGAGCACTGCCTTATGCGTGCACAGCGTTGCCCAACCAAACTCCATTCCTGCCGCGTTCTCGGTGACCGTGCGCCTGAGTGGGCACCTCTGCATCAGCGCCAGCCCCACGCACCTCAGGGCCACACTGTCGATCCTCCCTTTCGGGTCTATAATACCCAGACCACCTTGCTCCCTTGGCGCATACATCAACTCCCCACTCCAGAGTCGGAAATGCTTCTCCGTATCAGCGTGATTAGCTGAAATGGAATTTTCCACGAGGGTATCTACCCTTTTCCACAACAGGTCATCGGGCGGGTACACTTGTGCTTGGAAGAGGAGCACCGGCAACACGTAGCTGTTGATGATGGTCACCCTCGCCCCTGTCGTGAGATATTTCGTCTGCCATTTGCTCAGCACACTCGCCACTCTGTCGAAGGCCTTCTCCCAAGTGGTCCCCGCTCCCTCCCCGGGGGTCACCCACACGCCGAGCAATCTCTCTGCTTCGTCTTTGCCAACCCATTTATAAGCTGTCCCCGCCTCTGCCTGCTTATTCACGTTCTTCCCCAGTGGCAGGATCGCGGACTTCCCAACGTTGGCCTTCAGTCCTGACATCGCTGCGAACTCCTTCGGCATCTTTTCAACCTCCTTCAGCTGCTGCTCACCATTCAACAACAGGGTGGTGTCATCCGCGTACCCTATGTACGACAACCTCTCGCAACCTTTCTCCCCGATGCCCAACTTTCTTGCTTCCGCCATCCTGCTCAGAGGCTCGACCGCACACAGAAAGAGGTAAGGAGCCAGCGGATACCCTTGCCTCACCCCTTTCTGCATCTGGATCTGCTCCCCTGTCCATCCATTGATGCAGAGCCTTGTATGTACGTCACTGTGCAGGGCCCCAATCCAGCTCACGAAGCGTGGCGGAAAACCCATGCGTGATATCGCCCTCAGCATGTACCCCCTGCGCACGGAGTCGTACGCTTTTTCGAAATCGACCATCATGATGTACCACTCCTTGTTCTTATTCTTCGCTGCATCGATCAGGTCCGCCACCATTGGCACCGCATCAGTGAGCCGCTTCCCTGGTAAGAAACCATATTGTTCCCCCGAGATTACTTGATGCAATACCGCCTTCATTCTAGTCGCCATAACCTTCGCCAGAATCTTGTAGATGCTCGTCAGCAGCGTAATTGGCCTGTAGTTCCTGGCGCCAGTTTCTGCCCCTTTCTTGTACAGGAGTACGGTGACCGCCTCATTCGCCGCCTCAAGCATCTTCCCGGTAGCCACGAACCCCCGTACCATCTTCATCAACGGCCCCTTCAACACCTCCCAATGACACCGGAACAGCTCCTTCGGTAAACCATCCCTCCCTGGTGATTTATCATTCGCCAGCTCCCTAATTGCTTTCCTTACACCTTCCTCCGTCCAATCCCGTGCTATTGCCTCTGCAGACGCCTCATCCAGAACCGCCCTGGGCGTCCACTGCAGATCAGCCCCTTCATCGTCCATACCAGGTGACTCATCAAAGACCTCCCTGAAATGCTGTGTCGCCGATTCCAAGATGGCCTTTGCGTCCGTGTGACTGACACCATTCCACACCAGCTCCTTAATCCCCACTTTGGCTTTCCTGCTCTTAACGAGTGCAGACAGGAAACCGGTTGGTCCTTCCCCACATAGCTGCACCTTGAGTCCTGTCCTCATCTCCAGAAAACTCCTCTGGCCATCCCAATATCTGCACAACAGCGCCTGCCTACTCGTAAGTACCGCCTGCAGATTATCATCACTTGGGTCCGCCATCACCCTCTGCTGCAGGTCACTCACTTGCTTCTCCAGCGTTCTCCGTGTGCTTCTGACCCTCTCCTTCTCCTCCTTATCGTACTTCCGCAGGCGCGCTGACAGGCCCTTTGACAATCGGTCGAAGTCCCCGCTCCCGCCTTCTTCATGACGACGCACCACGTCCGCAATCGCCGACGACACCCCTGGGCGGTTGGCCAGCCTCGCCGGAAACCTCCACACCCCAGGGCCGGTTTCCTGTTGACCGTTCCACACCAGCCTCATCCGAACCCCACACTTGTGGTCTGTGATCCCATCCGGTATCCGCTGGTGAGACACCCTTGACACCAGGTGCAACATCGCTTGTGACACGAGTATCCTGTCAATCCTGGAGCTGACCAGCGCCGATCTGCAGAGAAAGGTAAACTACCTTTTGCCCGGCCATAACTCCTTGAAAACATCCTTAACCTGGAAGTTAGAGAGCATGTGCTTTATCCTGCTGTTATCACCCGTTACACCCTGCCTGTTGGACTTGTCCAAAATCGAGTCTTCTATCATGTTTAAATCCCCAGCTACTACCAACTGCTCCCCTCTTGGCAGGCCAGCAGCGAACTCCTTAAAGTCTAAACCGAGAAAACTACCCCGCGACGGAGCCTGCGAGGGGAAGTATGCCGCAAGCACCCGCATCTGCCGGGCCCCCCAGCACAGCCGCGCATGGAGAAGCCTGCCGGACGGATGACACTGAACATCCTCCAACTCCACGCCCTCTCGGAAACAAAGAATAGCCACCCCTCCTGCTCTCGTCGGGGCCGTAGCTGCAGCCACACTGTGAGGTCGTAGCTCCGTCCAGAAGTTATGATCTACCGCTATGCGTGTGTCTACCAAGATTACCACATCTGCTGTCGTTCTTATCCAGCGCTTCAATGTTTGCTGCTTCCCCTGGCTCCCCAAACCGTTGACGTTCAGGGTAAAAAACGTAAGGCGATTAGCGTTACTCATTATGAAACTCCGGTGAAGCCCCCATTCATCCACAGGGCGGTGTTACAGCACATCACGACGACACTATATTGCCTGAGATACATCATACAACCACAGCTCCACAACCTAACCATGTCTCCTTCACCCCCTTGCTCCGTACAGCTGCCTGATGCCTCCCACCGCCCCACAGGTGGTTCCCCCGGGATCACACGCCGAACTCCTTCTTTTCCGCGGCCAGATTGACGCCAGCCTTGGAGAGGCGCGACGCTGAGCCAGATACCAAGCCGTCGCTGTGCCACTGGGAGACAACATGTTCCGCAGCCTGAGCGAAAGAGACCATATTTGCCTTCTCGCAGCCTTCCTGGACGCAAATCCACTCCTCTTGATTCCCCCCGGTTGAGATCAACACTACGGCGGGGTCCTTCAGTACAAGCCTGGTCAGATCTGTGATTCTGACTGAGGCGGCTGCGCGGAGTCGACACATCCACAACGTTAGCACCACACCACCAAGACAACAGCGAACTAACAGAAAACAGGTGCGTCAGAAAACACCTCCACCCATTACCATTGATCCCGTATACCCGTCCCAGAGACAGGCTCCAGTTTCTAATATTGTTTTGCCGCTCCAACACGTATTCATCATGGTAGCGCGTCATGTGATACCACGAGCAGTACCCGCAGGAGAGAGACGGATAATGCACCAACAGCTGCTTGTCGTGTGAAGTCGGATCATTGGTCACATGGCGCCAGCGTTACTTGTCACCCTCATGCTGCTTCACCAACCCCTTAACCTTGTCGGTATCCATCCCTGTAACGGGATTCACCACCCGATAGAAGCAGCAGCCATCCTTGAAGGCCGAACGCCCGCGCTTCTCCAACTTCACTTTAACCAGCATGTCACACAGCATCTCCGGCGTTATCATCGCATCCACTCCTTTGAACAGCACCTCGACAAGCAGAGGGTCCGCAGCACGCACCTTCACATAAGCCGGTTCCACAGGATGCTGCCAGTCCAGGTTAATGCGCTTCCCGTCAACACAGGTGTGTACAATCCCATGCTTCCAGACGAAGTTAGCATCGCGAGCCCGCTCAAAAGAAACCTGCAGCCGGTGATAAAGCCGACAGCTCCTGAAACTTTGTTGTTGCCTGGATCTCCATGTTCAGGTCCTTCTTCCAGAGATTGAAGAGAGCGCGTAGCGTCGCCTGCACCCGCGTTGCCTCCGACTTGAACGCAATCGGGATCAGCAGCACAATAGCAAAGCGGATCCGCTGCGCGACTTCACTATTCGCATGCGCATCATACCGCTCCTCCGGATCATCGCTGAGGTAGCCGTCGTCTTCCTCCTCCTCATCTTGCTTTACCGACCTGGTGCTAGCATCCTCCTTGCCTGAGCGCAGAGACTCAGTAGCTTCCTTGCTGATAGACTTGGTCTTGGCTTCATCTCCTGCTTGCTGCAGGTTGTCCCCGGAACCGGTAGCCAGAAGCTCCCGAACCGCATCTTTCACACCGTGAGCAACAGGCTGAAGAGCTTCTTTGTCTGCTTCCGAGAACAGGTCCAAAGTGCGCTTAACCGCCGATGATGCCGAGGCATCAGCAGGCAACACAGAGTCCTTAAGCTTGTCCACTGCCACACCAGAGGATCCATCAGTCTGACGGGCTCCACCATTCCTGGTGATCATCCTTGACATTGTGCAATGATGACACGGACGAAAAAGAGAACCTCCTTGAGGGAGAAACGTCTGTCTGAGCACAATACCATAAGCTCCATGATCCGCCTTTAAATCCTTGAACTTGAAATAACGCGACTAGGGTAGCCTTGATAATAGCCTGCTACCATAGTCTCGTGAAGTCTTGTTAACCAATGAAACGCTGGAACGATGAAACCTGAAGGAGCCTTGTTGATGAGTTAAAGTACAGGTGTCAATCCTGGAATATGACGCGCTGACAAGCCCTGGGAGCTGGCTTAAAACCTTGGAGTTCAAATTGGGAAAGATAGCCACGGTCAAGGGCTACAACATATCGAGTTTGAGAAAATTCTAGCAGTGCGTGTTTCGTCGACGACGTTTCTTGTGAAGTCGACAATTCTTATTATAGACCAACAATTTTTGTGATATTTTGGCCCCTAAACGTTCTTGACTCCATCCTTAGTCTCTAACACAGGATGCTAATAGTGTACGCAAGGTTAGTTCGAGTGCACTTCATCAGGTACATCAGGAAACCCACAACCTCTAGATACGAACTCATCTGAAGGTGGAGATGAGAGCGAGTGGTCCGTATGCAGAGGAGTGGGCTATGGCGAGGAGAATTGAAGGCCGAAGCGCAGAAGGACCTGCTGCACCATGTGTGACTGAGTCAGAGTGATGGTGCACACTGCTCTGTTTCGTGTGATCTGCAATCCAAGGTAGTTTTATAGCACACCCAAATCAGCGCAGGTGTGTCTCTTCTACAGCTCGGCCTTCATGAAGGCCAGGGCCTCATGGTCAGCAGCAGCAAATACCATATTGCCGACGTACACGAGGATGTAAAACGACAGAAAGGTAGAGTTAGTGTGCTAAGCGACGGGTCGGCAGTCGAAGGAGCGAGGAGAGCCGCAAGCGTCGTCCTCAGTGTGTAATGCCACACGCCGGGCGCATTGCAGAGACCATAGACTGGCCGCTGGAGACTCCACAGGGTATCCTCAGGAAACGACCTAGTAAAGCCAGGTGGGCGGCGTCGACAAATCTCCTTGTAGAGGCTGCCCTACAAGAAAGCTATTGAGAAGTCAAGCGACTGCAACTCGTGGTCACGCTGTGCCGCAATGTGCAGGAACACTTGAAAAGTGGTCATCTTCGGGGTGGGGGAGAAGGTCTGGAAGAAGATGACCCCCTCACGCTGACTAAAGCGTCGTGCAATGTAACGCGCCTTGAAGACAGGCGGGGAACCCGGCGGCCGCTTCACCCTGAAAATCCACATGCCATCAACTATGTTCGCCCTAGGAAGGGGCTTCATCGACGTAGGTGCCAGTGAACTTCCAAGATGCCATCTTTGCACCTATTGCTCTCTGCCATCGAGAGGAGTAAGGACCCGTGATCGCCTCTGCGTAAGAGCGCGGGGTCAGGATGTCCAATGCAGCAGCATGGCAGTGAGATGATGTGCAGCATCGACAAAGCACTCAAGGATGTCACAGCCAAGGGCAAGCTCATCCTCGACGGATGGAGGACAGGCAGAGTCAGAAACAAGACTCACGAAGTAGTCAAGGCAGCACGTAGCAGCAAAGTCGGTGCGCTCATTGACTAAGGCAGATAGTAGCACACAAAAAAGTAGGGTTCGACACAAGTGTGGCGAGACAACGAGTGACAATCTCACTGGCAGAACGAGCACCGTCAAACACAGGGTCAAGAACATCAGGAAGAGATGACGGGGGAGTGACGGTAAAAAACTGTGAAACAGAGGAAGGACGAAGTGTCATGGTGTGAATACTAGGACCTGGAGGAGGGCGAACACGGCGAGTACGACACACATGAGCAACACGTGAGGTAGGACGAGATGCAGGCTCTCGACACTCAGTCATGGAGTTTGTTAATGGCAAGTAACAAGGAGGAACAGGCAGAGGAGAGCCAGACGGTTATTATGCCTGAGACAGGTCAGACCGTGGAAACGGGAGAGGAGGAGTAATACCAGTCGTAGACGACTCTATAGCGACAGGTAGAGGACTAAGAAGGTGGTGAAGCGCTGACCCAAGTGGTGGCAGCGTCGACTCCGGTTGCTGCCAGAACAACGGTCGCCGCTGCAACGGCTATGCAGCACCCCCAGAATTAGCTCCTCCAGTACTCGCAACAAGAACACCTCCAGCTCCAGCACGACCAACACCTCCAGCGCCAGTACCTCTAGCTCCAGCACCTCCAACTCCAGAATCTCCCGCACCTCCAGCAGCTCCAGTGCCTCCAGCACCTCCACCTCCAGTGCTTTCAGCACTAGAACCTCCAGCACGTCCAGCTCCAGAACCTCCAGCTCCAGCACCCTCGAAACCTCCTGCAATGGACCCAGAGAGTGCCAGCTACGACTGCTACTGCTCCTAAAAAAAGGCCCTCCACGGCAATGGCGGCAATGGATGCTCAGAACCTCCAGTAGCAGTACCCTCGACTCCACCACCACGAGGACGCTCAGCACCTCTTGAGACAGCACCCCCCAAGTCAACACCTCCGGAACCAGCACCTCCACAGTCAACACCCCCAGAACCAGCATCCCAAGAGCCCGCACCTCCATAGTCACCAACCCCAACAGCACCAGGGTCCACAACCATAGGCTGCAGAGTAGGTGAAGACGGTCGAGGCGGAAAATCAAGAGGACTCTCTGACCATGGTGAGTGGCGAGAGGCCGATCTGTCATCAGTAGAAGGGTCAACCTCATCAGCCGGGCCACAGGGCTGTGAGGAGACCTCCAAAGGCTCAACCAAGGGGGGTGGGGTGAACCAAGGCACACATGAGTAAGCAAGACGAGGGGGGGGGAGGGTGTCTACTAGAGGGTAACCTAGGACTAGGAGAGGGTTGGCGGGGGGACGGGGGAACTTCAGTGGGGGTAGAGACGGTAGTAGCAAACCGGCCGTCAATGGTGAAATCACGGGAGGCCAAGATGCGGCGAGTGGCTGGGTGCTAAAACTGCTAGTTAGGCGTGTCGACAGGAAAGTCAAGGAAGATGCAGCGAATGGTGCGAAGAGAGAGCTTGCCCGTGGTAGGATCGCGGACAATCGCAAGCGAACCCCAGACCTAAAACGCCGATGCATCGCCAACCTCCCCCGTCCAAAGGCGGGCCGACGAGGTCTTTGGCTGGGAGAAACGGGGTCAGAGGTTGAGCTGATGCGCGGCGTATCGGACCGCAAACGACCACAGAAAATAGGGAGCAACCAATGGATCACAGAGGTGTGAGCAACCTCCATGATCAAACCAATACGGCAATCAGCGATCCCATTCTGCTATGGAGAGGCCGGAAGCAGGGTGATGCCCTCTTCACGACAAAATTCCTCAAGGATGCCAGAGGCAAACTCGTCACCACGAGGTCTTGCCGAAACAACCCAGATCCAAGGGTTCAGAACAACATAGACGTTGCCTTTATGCTCTAAGAAAAACACCGCGGTGTAGCGCATGAAGTCGTCGATGATCAGCAGAAAGTAGCACTCCCAGGGCGGCCCAGAGACGGGGGCGGGGGCCCACACGTCCATATGGAGCGTTTGCAAAGGAGCAGTGTTTAAGCGAAATGAGGAGTGAGACGCAGTGCGCTACTGCCCCTTGACAAAGGGAGTGCATGGTGACGCAAGCGACGGGGACACTGCAGAGAGGGGTGACCAAGACGGTGGTGCCAGAGGAGGGACGGCTGGTCGTGAAGGGCTTCATGCAGGTGTACGATTGGCGACTATGACGAGACGTACGCGCCGGTCGGAACCTAGTTACGTGACGCTGAGGATCTTCCTCAGCATCGTCGTTGTCGTCAACCTCAACCTGATGCAGCTCGACATGAAGAACGCCTTCTTGCAGAGCAAGCTCGACCGAGTTTTGTACATGTACCAGCCAAACTACTACGATGACGGGACCGACCGGATGTGCAAGCTGCTGAAGAGCCTCCATGGGCTGAAGCAGTCACCGCTATTGTGGTATAGGGCTCTCGACGGCGTGCTACTTGGCGCCAACTGGAAGAAGAGCCAGGTCGACGAGGCACTCTACTTCAAGGTCGGCGACGACGGGGTGACTTGTTGGGTGCTGGTCTATATCGATGACCTGCTTGCCACTAGAAGCTACACCGCGATTTTGAAGGAACTCTTCGAGCTGCGCGAGATCTCGCTGCCAAACTATACCTGTTATAGTTTGTATTGTTTAGACTAGGTGGTGTCCACCTTGGTTAGTGCTAGGGTTAGGTTTGCTAAATCTACCCTTGTACTTGCTCATTCTAGTCATTTTCATTCTCATATTATATCATGGTATAGAGCGAGGTTTCCCTAGCTAGGGTTTCCCCCAACATTTTTCTCTCGATAGATTAAGGGCCCACCAAAATTGCTAGTGCGTGCCTCATACTAACGCGTGCCCCTTCCTAATGCGCGCCTCGTAGATCGTCGCCCGTAGCGCGCCCGTCGTCAATACCCACCCCGTCGCCCGTCAAAACAAAAAAAAAAAAAAAAAAAATCCCCTCCCGTCGCTGGTCGCCTGTCCGTTTCTTGCGCGCGCCCCACCCGTACACGTTGATTGACCATAGGAAGCGGGCCCCGCGGCCCCTTTTGGTTAGCAGGCCCTGCGGCCTTTCGGTAGTGAGCCACGCGGCCCATGATCACGGCCCTGTGGCCCGCGCTATCTGGCCCCGTAGTCCCCCCCACGCGTTCCCCTTCGTTTCCCGCCCGTACCCTGTCTGCCGCGTCTCACTACCACCTCGATCTTGCTTAGTCCACGGCGGTAAACCCTAACAGTCGCCACAACAGCTCTCCACCCCTTTGAATCTTACTCAACCGCTCCTTAACCGCACTCAGCTGCACCAGATCTGCCTCTCACCTGCACTAGACTACTTTCAGCCGCCGCCCTTCACCGCACTATACCACTCCCAACCGCCCTTCACCGCACTCAACTGCACTAGATCGTTCCCCACCGTCATGTAGTTTGCCTTACCGTCACTCAAGCTCGTTGCAGCAACTATTAAGGCGCTAGAACGCCCTTCATTTTGTAGTTTG